AATGAGTTCAACAAACTTTTGAAACTGTTTTCTTTCCATGTTGGTCTCATGTGTCAGCTGTTCCTGGGATGTTTCTGACTCATCGATGTCTCCGGCGTGGAGACCGTAGGCCCAGCAAGGACAGGCATCTACTGAGATTCCACCTGGTGCTCCAAATGAGCAAGGATGCGGCTCAGAACAGCTTCCATTTGATCCACACGGTTCTCGAGGGGCTGCATGTTCTCCGTGAGTGCCACACTCTGGGCGTCCATCTCGGCTTCCGGCAGAAACTCGAAGTGATCTTCTTCCTCCTCCATCTCGGGAATTGGAGTCTCCGCAGGCATTTGTGGCTTGCGGCAGGCCACCTTGGCCATCATCTTGGGCTTCCGTTGGCTCATCTTCGGTCCGGCATGCTGTGGAATCCCTTCCCCTGTGAGTTCCGCTCGCTCGATCTTCAACTGAATGAAGTGGATCACCTTTTGGTGATTCTCCTTGCCTGACTTCTCGTAATGGCTCACGAACCATCCGATCCAGTCCTGGTGACGATTCCACATCTCCAGATAGGTTTTGCCCCGATGGGCTTGTCCGAAGTCGATGGTCGACTCTTCGAGATCCTTCAGGCTGAGGTGGTCGAAGTTGTACTTCTCGGGAGCACTTGGAATCTGGAGAGCTTTCAACCGATCGCTGAGGCTCATGGCGACCACGCTTGGGAACTTCGAAACTCTGGGCAAAACGGGTGTGCTTTGAGCTTCTGGGATCTGCCGGATGCAGCGCTTCTGTACAGTTCTTTTCACTTTCGATCATTTGGTCAAGGCTTTGATCATGGGCTTGGCATGAATTTGACTGGGTTATGTTACATGGTGTGAACTTGTTGGCATCATTAGAAGTTATTTGGGTTAAGTTATCACGTGGAGACCTGTTGCGTGAACTTTGGGATGGAATTGTCATGTTGTTGGCACACTGATCATGGATGGTCGACTCCGTATCGGTCGATGCAACAGCGGCAGCAGGCTCTGTACACTCTTTTGGCATGGTTGATACCTGATGTGTCTCGGCTACCTGTGTGGACCCGGTCGCGTCCATCAGGTCATTGAGGTCCAAAAGAAACAAACCCTTCTCAGTGAGCTGAATGGGTATGGTCTTGGAGATCTTGGTAGCATGAATGACTTGCTGACTTGTATCAATCACTGCACCAATCGCTCTCAAAAGGGTGTTTGACAAAAGGAAAGGAGTAGATCCGGGTACTACGGCCACCTTAAGCAACAAACCATGAATGGGAATCACTAGGGCTTGTTCACTTTGCAAAACCCCTTGGTTACCAAACCGGAAAGTCAACTTACATGGACATCGGCGTACAGTTCGACGTGCTTCAGGACTTAAACCGTTGAGCAAACCTGGCACAAGCTGACTTCCTATGACCGTTTTAGTGGCACCCAGATCGACTACTCCCAGGCTGCTGTGAGTTGCAAACAAGGTCACATGATCCGCACTCTCAGTGTCACCATGACTTCGATCTCTGGGCTCTTGGACGGACATGCGATTCGATCTCAGCTCATTCCTGATGGCGTGAAAACGGTTGGTTCGCATGCATGATTGTTTCCATGAGGACAGGGATCTCTTTAGCCTATCTTTGGAGGATTCATGAACCGTATCAACATGCGAACATGCAAAACACATGCTATCATGAAATTGAGTCTCATCCATCGTGCTCTCCATGGACGGCACTTGCAGGAACTCTAACGGCAGACTATCTTGACCACCTTGAACCTGAACAAAGGACTGCATCAGATCTGTTGGGGCATTCGGCACGCCAGTGGCCGATCTTTCCGCAAAGCCTACATGCTGAGGTCAAAATCCTCTGCTGCAAAGACTTTCTGTTGGACTGATGTCCCTTTTGGAACTTTCCTTTGACCCCTTTGTAGGACCCCTTATGTTTCCCTTTTGACAACGGCCAGAAACCACGGGACTTCACTTTGTCGCTGAGACGCTTTCGGGCCTCGGTATAGGCATTGAATGCCGAGGCAAGATCCTCATCCTGTTGGATGACATCGGCTGCAGCATTTTCGAAGTCCGCTATGAGTATGGCGTCCTCGTCACCTTCCTGGAAAAGGGCCTCAACAAGGTCATCTTCACAAATTTCTTCACTCGTCTCTGCATGCAGTGTGTTCGACATGTCCTCCTGGTCAGGACTGTCGAACATGATCATGGCAGCATCATACGTTTTCAGTCTGTTGGGCTTCTTTCCTGATGTCACCTCTTGGAAAAATCCAGCACCAAGCATACGGATCGCGGCTGCCACACGTTTCATGGTGAGTCTGCCATCTTCGCTGGCTTCACTGTCGATCTCAACTCGTTTTTTGTCTTCACCACTGAGGCCTGATCCACGCAAAGTGATGTAAGCTTGCAAATCTTCCAGCTTGATCTCCTTGGTCATGAGTTCTTGCCAGGCGACATCAGCTCTGGCCAGGTAGCTATCATTGGTTTCGTCACTCTTTTGTGACAGGCGATACAAGGCTTTTTCTGCAGCTTCATACTTGCGTTCTAACGGAATCTGGCCCCATTGACCTCCGAGGAGTTCAATCAGGCGTTGAATTGATTTCTTGTCATTGTCGGTCAATTCGGTACTGTGCAGTTGCAGCTTCTGAAATGCAGTTCCTGTACATCCCAAAATGAGACGGGTGGCAAGTTCGGTCCACTTACCATCAGGCCACATGTTCATGAGCAGTTGCACCTTCTTGGTGTAATCTACAATCTCATCTTTGGCAGGGTCAAAGGTCGGAACAAGGCTGGCTAGCTGGTTCGGAACTAGTGTTGAAGTTCCAGCCCCATCTGAGCCATCACTTGCTTCCGGCATGTCCTCCTCCCTGGATCCTCAGCGAGAGCTCGCTGAGCTCCGCTACCAATGTGATTGACCACAATGGTAACGGATGTCCTCCACCAAAACCGCCAAGCAGCTACCTGCTGTTTTCCTTCCAGGCCACAGGTCGGATCACGGCAATGCTCGGAGAGGCACTCCGAAGGCTGCAAGAGTTATCCACTTAAGGATTGGCAAGATGCAAATGCACCTATGAAAGTAGCGGACCCCTGGTCCAAGCAGTTGTGCGGCCGCGCACGATGCCTATGGCTAAAGTCACACGAATGCAAATGAACCCTCCCTCACCTTACCCTATGGGCACTCCTGAGCCATGCATGTGCTATGGTTGTGAACTCTGGTTGTTTACCCCTTGTTTGGATTGTATGACAGGAAGTGCAATGATGTTGAACATTCACAACATATATATATACACATATACATACATATATATATATACATACATACATACATATACATACATATACATAGATATACATACATATACATACATATACATACATACATATACATACATATACATACATATACATACATATACATACATATACATACATATACATACATTTAGATACATATACATACATATACATATACATATACATATACATATACATATACATATACATATACATACACATACATACATACATACATACATACATACACTGCTTTAAATATACACATACATTCATATTTACATATATGTAAATATTTACATATATATATGACAACACACCGCATACATATTTATATATACATAACACACATATATATATATACATACACCTACATACATGTACATATATATATATTTATACATACATACATACGTACGTACGTACGTACATACATACATTCATACATACACATATACATACATACATACCTACCTACCTACATAGATACATAGATACATAGATACATAGATACATAGATACATAGATACATAGATACATACATACATACATACATACATACATACATACATACATACATACATACACACACATATGTATATATATATATATTTACACATACATATTTACACATATATATATAATACATATACATATATATATATATTTATCTAATACATATACAAATATATATATATATATACATATATAACCACACCCCCACCCACCCACGGGGGGGGCGGGGAACATAGCTCCTGTATTTCCATACCCATTCGTACTACTAAGTACTTTTCACTACACAACGACAAAAAGTACAAACGGACAACGACTTTGACGACTGACCTACTATACACTACTACTACTAGTACTTTACGAATACTACTACGTACTCACTACCTATAACTACCCCCCCACCCCACCCACTCGGGGTGCCCGGGGGGGCGGGGAACATAGCTCCGGTATACCCATAGCCCTAAACCTATATACCCATACCCTTTGGGGGGGGGGACCTGGGAGGCTGCATCATATATATGATATGTATATATATTTATATGAGATGTATATATGATATATATATATATATGTATATACATATAAGACATATATATATGATATGTATGTATGATATATATGTAAATATATATATATATATATATGAGATGCATACACACACATATATATATACTCACACACACATATATATAATTAATACGTATATACCTAAGGTTTACATATATGGTGTATACTTATATGGATGTTCATCTAGATTTGTTTATCGACTCTAATTTTCGGGGTGAAGGATTCTGAGGTGCAAACACTCCGCTTCTCGATGTAGCGAGCCCCAGCAATCCCCAGATGGCAATTCCAGCCACATTTTGGAGTTGCCCAGACTGAAAACCGATTGGGTATGTGAATCTCAAATTGCGTGAATGCCCCAGATGGAGAAAACATGTATATAAGGATTAAATTGAAGGAATGCTCAGACTGAAAATAGAAGGATTTTTAGTATATGAGTCTTATATAAGTTGAGTGAATGTCCAGATCGAAAATCGATTCGGTGTATGAACCTTGAACGAAGGGAATGCCTAGACTGAAAATAGTTTCGGTGTATTGTATGGACCTTGAATTAAGGGAATGCCCAAACTGAATATCTATATATGAAAATAGATCTGTATAGATTGAACTTCCAGGTTTCTGTACACATCATCAGGATTAACTCCCAGCCTTGCAGGTCAATGAAGATGGAAACAAAACATCGCCCGCACCTGTTGTCGAGGCGAGTGGGAATGCTTTGCACCCGAAAAGGCAGGACGTAGCCCATAGGCAAATCATGAAGGCTGTAGTTTCAAGAGTGCCAAGAGTTCCAAGTCAAAGTGTTTTTGTTTCTATTTTTCTGAAAAAAGGTAACCCCTAGTTTGATGGTTTATCATCATTCCCCTCCAATTATATATATATATATGGCTCCATGCACGTTTTGGGGAACCTCGAAAATGAAGTTTTTGGTGTATATATATATATTGTAACAATTTTCGGGTATACAGTATACACTCCATTGTCAGACACACACACACATCCACGAGTTAAAGGCATAAACATTTTCCGAAACCAGAAAGTAACCCAATTCGATTTCTGCTGAGACGCTGCGTTCTCTAGCAGCTTTTTGGACTCACGTGTGCTAAAGGATTTATGCATAGATGGAAGGAACTGTTGTTTTAATATGTGTTTACCAGCCAGTATGATAGCCACAGTTTTCAAACCCCTGCCAGGAACCCAAAGAGAAGCCGCAGGAAATGCCGCCAAAACAAGGTGTTTTCTTTTGGGGGGCAGTTTGAAAAGGAAAAGTTGAATCCAGATAGAACTTGTTTTTTTTGGTCATAAATAAATACATCAATAAATTAATACATTACTGGTTGGCGGTTTGGAAATGTTTGGAACATTTTTTTCCATATATTGGGAATGTCATCATCCCAACTGACTTTCATATTTTGCAGAGGGGTAGGTCAACCACCAACCAGTATATGTATATATGTATATGATATAAATAAACAGCATAAATGTAACGGTTTCCCATTGATCTTCTCTTCATCCAATTCTGGGAGAATGTTGGCAGGGACTACCAGTCGAAGTTCTTGGGTCTGGTGCCTTTCCACAGTTTATTTGCAGGAGCGTTTTACTCCTAAAGTGACTAAGTAGTCTTGGGATGAATCGGAACCATCAACCAGGCATTGATGACTGGTTCACATCTTCATTGTTGCTGATGATATGATCAAAACCGCCTGAAAATTCCTGGCAAAGCCACTATTGAGGCATCAATCGTCAATTGCTATTTCATATGTCAAAAACGAAGGTTGATACATGGCCAGGTGGGGGTGATGTTCTCTACTTTTAGGTCCAATAGCCACACATGAAGAGAGGTCATCATCCCAGGTAGCCAAGGTTTATTCCAAGCAATGGACCATCTCCCGGTGACCACTTGAGTGGTGTATCCAAAAGAAACCACTGTTTTTTGGTCCGATTTGTTGGTCAAAAAAACAACTGATGATTTTCAAACTAACAGTTTATAGCCACTGAACAAAAATCAAGAACGGTTCAGTTCTTAGAGCATTTTTTTGCAGCTTGCTAGAGATTCATCTTTCCTTCCAGATTACCAGCCCATCGTGTAAAGTGTACAGTGCTTGGCAACCGAAGGTACGATGCTTTGTTGTGTTCATGCATGTCCGCACAGTCCCTGAGACTATTCGCGTGTGAATGAACAAACTTGCTATACTATACTGGTTGGTGGTTTGGATTTTTTTTTATTTTTCCATATATTGGGAATGTCATCATCCCAACTGATTTTCATATTTTTCAGAGGGGTAGGTCAACCACCAACCAGCTATAGATGGCGGCAGCCCAGGCGCCGGCCATGCCGGGAAGACGCCCTTGGCGCGGCAAGCTGCCGGGGAGGATCCCTGGGCCAGTGATAGCAGCGGATCCATCGTGGTGAAGGCGAAACAGACAGCTTGGATTTTCGTGGGGAGATCTTTAAAATCCTAAATAAATAAATAAATATATATATATTTACACACACACACATATATTTATGAGTTGATCGTTAGATTGAAGGCCGAATCGGAAACTTTCACCAGCAAATCCTGGGGATTCCTATAAACGTTCAATTGATCGTTTAGTTTGAGCCGTTCTTCTGGTGGAACATCCCAAGTTTCGGCTTGGTCATGGTCCAACCTGACCGGGGTCATCACCATTTTGGGCTCTATGGGCTCACCAGCATCCCCTGAAATGGCAGATTTATGATTGAACATTATTGGCTGGTTCCCACCTTATATGACTGTATAGACACTATATATATATATAACATATATAATATATAATATTTAGATAAACACACACATATATATATACACGTATTCTCTATATATGCAGATGATCATTTCACTACCTCTGCGAGGCGACCGGAGATTCGGCCAGCTCCAGCGAGGAGGCCACGGACGGTAGCAATGAAGAAATGGGGCTTGAGCCGAGACGCCTGGATTTTCACCATACGAAATTGGGCTTTGCCAACAGAAGTTGGGGTCCAAAAAGGGCGCCATTGGCTACAAAACCTGGCTGAAAACCCAAGGTAGGCAAACTGCAAGGACCGAAAACTGTGGTTTACATGGTTCTACCGCATTGGAATATTTGACCAACCATAGCTGTGTAAGGGTACCGTGAAGTGAAAGGTTTGGTTGCTGCATCGGTTTAACGAAAAGACAGTTTGCATATCCAGCATGACATGGACGCTTTAAGTTTTAAGGATCAACATCTGGTTAAATTGACTGCTGACAGGTGGGTTAACGTGTGGATCTAAAGGTCCTTGCAAGGAGTTTTAATTGCGAAAGCCGTGCGTGTTATGTTGGAAACCCTCGCGAAAGTTTTTTTTCGAGTTCGCCGCGAAAGTTAGATATTATTCGATTATCATTGTATACATTACAGCTTGTTAAGGGCTACGACCTCCTGCCGCCCGGTGTCCGGCAGGAGAATGGTACCGCACCATAGGTAGCAGCCAAGCTTCCGAAGGTGAGGCTTCGCCACGGCTTCGCCACGGCTTCGCCACATGGTCTTGTAGCACATCCTACTGCCTAATGTTGCTTTCTGAAGTCTCAAGAAACAAGCTCCAAATGCAGCAGCCAAGTTTCCAAAAGTGAGGCTCTGCGAGAGCCAAACACCAAGGCCCCTGGTGTTTGCTTTTCCTCTGATGCGCCCCCTGCTGATGGCTGGGGTCTGCGGATAGGGGTCTTTTCGCGAAAGTTCCGCGAAAGTTCTGCGAAGCCAAAGTGCATTTTGAAGGGAGTGGCCCAGTTAGCCTTGCAAAAACTTGCCTGATCAGCAACAACCTGTCCTGAGAAGGGGATTCCGTGATGCTAGCTGCATGTTAACAAGTCTATGAAGAAGTTATCCGTGATAATTTTGTGTGATTTGGCAGGTGATGAATGAATCTTCATAAGAGGAGTTGTTGCTCAACACGGGTTCCGCGAAAGATAAACATGGAGTTCGCGAAAGATTCGCGAAAGATAATTGTTTATTCGCGAAGATTGACTGTTCCCGGATAAAGGATTTTTGATCAACCGTCATATATACATACACACTCACTATGTATATATATATGAAGGGTATCTATGAATAAGTTTGGCTATGTCTCTCCGACCAAAGCCTATAAATGATGGTCATTTTTTGGGAAAGGGCCGCATGTTTTGCCAGAACAGGTCATCACAAGTTCACCGCTGTTGCTTGATGAATTCGTTGAGTTCTACTACCTGGTTTAGTGACAATTGTCAATACAGCATCTGGGTACAAAACTGCATCATTGTTGGACTGCAATGACCCATTGGAATCCGATAGATTATGTTCTCATCTAATCAGGCGGGATTGCAACAATGGATCATTGGTGTTTATATAGAGGTTGAGAAACATACAAAACGATGCTATTGCTGATGCGCAGCTAAGAAACAGATGCGCTTACCATACATTGCCATACTAAGGCTGATTACCAGGCGCTGCCACACTCATATCGGAGCAACTTATAACATTCGAAATGAACATAGTAATTGCCCGTCACACTACTCAGTAATCCCTTTCCCTAAATATTAAATATTAGATACCTTCTAAGCCCTAACCTTTGGCATAGTAATCCATCCCCCTCATATTAAACCCCATCCAAAAAAACATGGCTTCATTAAAAAAATACACATAGGTGGGACCATATTCAGTTGGTGTTCAATATTAGGGGGATGGGATTGATCTGTTCATTGACCAGGAGGACGGTGACGATAGTCACGCCGAAGCGACGGAGGCAAAACGTTTGGTTGGTTGGAGGATTTACTAACCAACTCATACCCTTTTATATTATTAGGGGATGATCGTATTCCAACTGGGTATATATATTATATTACATATGATATATTATTATATACATATATTACATATTATATATTATTATATATTATTATATATTATTATATATTATTATATATTATTATATATTATTATATATTATTACATATTATCATATATTATTATATATATATTATTATATGCATATTATATATTATATATATATATTAAATTTATATGATATATATATATATGATATATATATATAGATATAGATATAGATATAGATATATAGATATATAGATATATTCTATCATACTCCATGGGACTCCCTTGGTCACCAGGATTTCAGCCGTTTGGAACGCTATGGCCAAGTTCTGGGGGGCAACAGGTGATCCTTGCGCTGATCTTTTCCAACGGACCATGGGGGTTTAGCCTCTGTTATTTTGACGGTTCGCTATTGGAAATGGCCATGGAAATACGGGGTTAGTTGATTTACCTTGTTAAATAGGTGATTTTCGATTGTTAACCTGAATTCACCGGAGTGTCCAAAAAGTAGTGGAGCATCCCACCAAACCTGCTTGGCTTCCAAGGGGTGTAATTTTCCATAGCTTCCCAGACATTCGTAGTTGGCGGACATCATTGCTTGACGGCTTGCGGCAGGTGCTTCCTGAGAAAAGTGATGGCAAGGAGACGATGTGGACGATTCCACAGGTTCCACAGGTTCCGGAAAGCAGGATGGATTGCCCTTCAAGATGAAGATGCAAAGCAACTGGTGATATTTCAAGCAGCATACTGGGTTCAGTTCCAGAAATGGTTGCAATGATGTTAGTCTATTAATGGAATGCCGTCTGAACAATCAGCTGCGAGGAATTTGGGTTGCGGGGACCCTGTCCATTTGTTATTTCCTCCATGTCGATGTCAATCCAAGTCGAAGACGAAAATTGGGTGCCCTTGGGACCCCTTGGGACCCCTTGGGACCTGTTGGCCACATGAAAGTGCTGTACATCCCAGCCATTTGTGGCCTAACATCATGGGAGGCCGAGACGCCTGGAAAGGACCCGGCTTGGCATCAAAAGGTGGATGACTTGGCGCCTTGGAGTCACCATGGGTTTCACTAAACTGGTGTAATGACTGGATGATTTAGGGGGTTTCCCTTTTTTGGGAAACCGGGAAACCTCTAAATGTGTGAAATGAAGTTACTGTATTATCTTCTATAGTTTGGGGTAAACCAACCTGTTTCGTTGCATGGTAGAATCATGATGTAATCATGTGAAGTCTCCATGCTATCATGCTTGTGGTTTGCCATGTCTATCTATGTTGTTGTTCACCCCACTTAGCAAGCAACATATTATCAGATGGTGTCATATGGATTCACCCTAGTCAAGTCTTCAGTGATATATGACCTGGGTAGAAAGTAGAATGACCCAGCAAAATCACCACGAACTTCGTATGGTGGACACATGGACCATGTCCGATGGTAGGGTGCCCATAGCCAGTTTGTTTTGACCATGGCACATATGAGTTGTGATCATCGGAATGTGTTTTGGTTCTGTGCATAGGCGCACTCTGAAGAAAGTGACCTTTTTGTTCCAGGCGCATCGTGGCATCAGACTGGGCCACATCTTGGGTTTCTATCAAAGCCTTTCTGAAGGCTCGGTGAAGACCTGGGATCCCTGGGAGCCCTGGGAGCCCTAAAAGGGCCGAGCCGGTGCTGTTTGATCGACGGCAGGGCGCATGATTTTTGGATTGTTGCCTTCACGGCTTCAAAACCGTGGAGCAAGCATCTAGTAACATGGGAAGTCCCAAGCGGATTTGAGGATCCACGGTTGTATTTGATTTGGAAGGGCCGGACGATCAATGATCACCCCAAGAAACGTCGTGGATTTTCACTGGCGGAACCAGATGAACCAGCAGCCAGTGCTCCAGCCCGGGGATCTGTAACCCAGGCACCTTGCGAGGAGATGCAGGACAGAAGTTGATGTCACACTTTACTGCAGAGAAGTCGCTTGCCTGAAACTTGAGATTGCATAGGGATAGTTGGGGTACAGCTTAAAGATCTGCAAACCCACAGGTTCTGAATGATTTTGGTGATTTCAGGTATGAGACATCCTTACGAGACCATGCAATTGTGTGAAGCATCCGGAGGACGAGTCTTGACTTCTACTCTCCTAGAACCGGACATGCTTTTAAAACACGATATCATTCTTTTGAACTTTTATAGTTGTGTCATGATGACACACAAGTCGTGGCCAGTTCAACCCCAGTTGGAGCAACATCACAACAACTTCACCATACATGATGGCAAGGAAGGGAAACCATCCCAAAATATGCCCCTAACATGTTTTACTTCCACTTTGAGAACTATAGTTGATATAACTATGATATAACATTATAGTACATCATATCCATGTAATTTCAGAGATGTATATATATATACGCATACACAATTGTATATATATAGAATAACACAGCATAACTTCATATCATTTCCCCCATAGATCAAGGCACACGACCCACGATGTGGTGCGCTCCGCCATCATCCCGGTGCCCAAATCCACGCCCTTCGGAAGCTGCGCCTATGCCACCCTGGCAGAAGGCGAGCTCCTGGGTGACCTGGGTGACCTGGGTGACCTGAGTGACGTGTCTGACCCCCACGAAAAGACCAGGTGAAATATATGAGGTGTAACAGTGTAACATGGTGTTTTTCTATCTCTTTTGTGACTTAGGTAGCTTAGGTGTCTGAAAAACGAACAGAAGTGGAAGATTCAAGCTTGTTGATCTGTGGCCGCTAGAGTGTTTGAATGGGGATGTATGGGCTATCCAATGGGTGTATCAACCAATGAGATGGATATGTATATAATTACCTCACTAGTGACCACATCCCCAAAAATGAGATAAACATGTTTCTTAAGCCTGGTAGGAGCATCAATTTCACGACCTTAACCCAGCTTTTGGAATATCATAAATTGTCCAGAGTGGTTCAGTTCAGGTGCATAATCTGCACTTGGATTTGTTGCTGTTCAGTCCTGAAGTTTTTCTCCAACGTCAGTTGCTTCGTTAAGGATGCTACATCTTGCAACAACATCCCAATCTGATGGCATTATTTAAGCTTAACTCAAAAGATGTTCTTCCCAACTTTCTCACTTAGATGAGCTAGGGACTTAGTTCACTGATAAGTCGATTAGTAGGCGAATTACACATAGCCAGACTATAGTCGTTTTTTTTGGTTAATAATGGTTAATAATGGTTAATAATGGTTAATACCATGACAACCATTGGAACCATTATTAACCATTATTAACCAGCAATTAAAGTTTGTTTCCAATGACACCCATGATGCCATGGCTCACCAAGTCACCAAGGCAACGCACCCTGTCTGGCCACCGTGATGGTCTCGCACCACTGGCGTAATCTCTTCTGCCATCTGTCGGCCGCGGTGCTGGCGTACGCCTTGGGGGAGACGAGTTATGAAGCCACGGCCGAGAGCCCCTCGAAAACGTGGGACCTGGTTCGGGTGGACTGGGGATTTCAGCCCAAGAAATGAGGGATGTAAAGGATTTCAACCAAGAAACATGAGGGATATATATATATATAACATGGGGAATATGCAGAATATGACCATCAATAACAACCTATGAGCAATGGTGGTTTAAGCATAAAACATCGTGTTATGGACGAATCAAAGGTAGATGATGGATCATCCCGCCACCTGCTGGACTAGCGCGAACTTGGGGATCGACCCATGGTGACGGATTGGTTGATTTGCAACATAGGTATGGCTGATGTTTTAGCCGTTTTCAGGAAAGAATGTTTGATATCCCATTGACTGTAAATCTTCAAAATGACCCATCACCATGATCTCAGTGCATCGCTCGGGGTGTGTGCATTGGGAACTCAAGCATACTTTCAGTAAGGGCGGGCAAGGCAGGTATCTGACCCCTGGAACACATCACGATCATGCAGGATTTCACAATAGCTATATCTATCTATCTACCTGCCTGTCTGTCAGTGTGCCTATCTATCTATATATCTGTCTGTCTGTCTGTCTATCTATCTTCCATTATCTACCTACCTACTGTAGGTTACCTACCTACCTGCCTATCCATCTAGCTATCTATCAGTTTGTCTGTCTATCTGTCTATCTATCTAGCTAGCTATCTATACAATATACATAATATGGATTTACAGGGATAGACTTAGACACCCAGGCATGCTCCACTCAGTCCTCAGAGACTTGCTTCTCGCAGAGGTTTGACGAAGAAGAGCTTCGAGGAGCTCAGGCCGTGGTGGTGATGGTGGTGGTGGTGATCCAGTAATGATTGTGATACAAATGAAGATAAAGATTACTCTAATGCTGTTGCTGCTGATGATGATGATGGTGATGATGATCAAGATGATCAATATATGTTAGTTTATTAGTGGCTATGATAAGTACTAATGATGGACACCATCAGTATCATCGCTTTCATCATTAACAACATTTTAATCATTATGATCATCATTATGATCATCATTGTGATTAATCATCATCATCATCATCATCACCATCATCATCATCATCACCATCATCATCACCATCACGGTCATCGTCATCGTCATCGTCATCATGATCATGATCATGATCATCGTCGTGGTCGTCATCGTCGTTGTCCTCATCGTCATCAGGAGCAACATCATTATTAACATCAGCAGCATTTTAATCGTTGGCATTGTCATCGTCATTATTGCCATTGTCATTTCTTGCCTCATATAAATTTTGACGGTATCAATCTTTTCTGGGTGTCCAAAACCGCTTCCAAAACTTGCCGACATTGAGATAAACCTAGGGCCGTAGGGGTTGGTCATACACCATTTAGTGGAACTCTATATTTTTAATAGACAGCTATATTTTTTCAGGGTTTGTAACCTAATTGAACATCACCCAACTACTGGGGATTTTGTCATCTCTAACAATTACTTTGTCAAGCAGCCAAGCAATATTCGATATACCCGAAACAGTACATTTAGCAACCGGTATAAATTTAGCCGTATATATAACATATATAACATATATTACAGGTTCTTTTGAATAAGGGTATGACCAACCCTTACGGCCCTATACACCACAAATATGACACCTCACCGCTGTCCCCGAGATTTGCCCATGATCTTCCCCAATGCCCACGCTACGTGTACCACGGGGAGGTTTCCTAATGGCTGGGGGTACCCCTTTATCGCTGGATGGTTGATTTCATGGAAAATCCCAGTTAGAAATGGATGATTTAGGGGTACTCCCATTTTAGGAACCCTCCATATGTTGATGTGTAATGTTCGAAGTTTAGAAGTCAAACTTCCGACAATATGGACCAGATAAAAA